TATAATTACACCTACACCATTTTTAGTGCGACTCTTATCTGAATACCAAAGTTTAAAACCTACATTATCAATCTCCTTAGCCTTTTCTCCAACCCACTTAGTTTCTTGAATACATAAGATATTAATTTTCCTATGAATCATAATATCAACTAATTCCATTAATTTACCATTGAGAGTGCCTATATTCCAAGATCCTATCCTAATATTAGTTTCATTAGTTTCATGGACTAACTTCTTTACCCGCATTCGCCCGTAATGTGGGAACCCTTGCTTATTTAACACTACACCCGGGCGCCGGTGTAGCGGCCCTTGCACACTTTTCACTGTATTCAGGCTATACAGCGCGTCGCTTCCAGGGGACGCCCTAAATGTAAAAGAGAATATTTTCAGTTATTAATTAATTTATTTTTTTTGAGTTGGTAGGAAATCAAACAATGGTACTTTTTACTTATGAATGGTAAATACATTAACCCGGTCTTTTTAAGTTGTCTCTATTCTCACATAAAATTGTGGTAGTCACTTTTTTGTTCAATATCTTAACGTATATGTCTTCAACCACGCTGCATGAATTCATCATTAATATGTGCTCTATTGATTTAAAGTGTTATTTTCCGTAGGTTTCTATATGCCCAACCTGTGGTGGAGAAGGTGAGATCATTTCTGATTACTGCCGCAAATGTGCTGGGGAAGGGCGTGTTCGTGTTAAGAAGGGCATTAAGGTAGAAGTTCCTCCTGGTATTAGCAAGGGCAGCACTCTTCGTGTACGTGGTGAAGGTGATGCTGGGCCTAAGGGGTGAGTAATTAATTTCTGGCATTACTTTTTGCTATATCATTATTAATTGTGGTTTCCTCTCAGACATGTCAAAAATCTTGTGCTAAGTCTCACGTTGTGAAGCAAGTTTAATAAAACTTTTTTGGCAAACTAGTGCACTAGTTTTTCTATGTTTTCTTTTACTTTTAACATAAAATTAACTGGTATGCTCTTCTTTCATACTAGATGCGTGGCATCTTTTCTGAAGGTACATAGATGTCAACACAGATTTTGACTATAGCACATAGTCAGCATCCTTTTCTATTTCCATTGAAATATTATGTTTCACAATAAAATTTACGACATGTAAAGCTTTATCATAATTTCTATTTAAGGAAATGTTTGAAATAATTTATTCCATTGTATAACTAAAAAATATTTAAGGACATGTTTGAAATAATTTATTCCATTGTATAACTAAAATTAGAACTATTTTGTATTCTTTCTGTAAAATCAATCTACAAGTGCTGAACTGATCAAACGGATTTTTGAACGTTTAATGGAATTATGTCAGATTGCTTTCTTAAGTTGACATCATGCTCTTATCCTCATTTATGCTTTCATGCTTTTTTTAGATTACTTGTTCTGATCTTTTCAAGTTTTAGTCTGTCATCTTATATTATTTTCATAAAGCTTTAGGCTTTAGGAATTTATTCGTTCTTGTTTATAAAACTTGCCAAATGGAGTAATATTATTTTTGAACTTGTGGAACAATAGTTGAACTGATAAAAAGGTTGTTTGAACGGAACTGATTAACCGGATATTTGAACGTTGATATATCAGTGTTTTGCAATAGCCCATTCAGTCAGAATCAAACTTCTAGAATAGCTCAAAAAGAATTTTTGTTGATTTCTATAATTATTTATGAATGTTGATGAACTTGACATCAAGCATGAACACCATATGCCTGGTAGTCTTGAACTTTGGCTTCATTTTGCTTTGCTATGTACTGAAAAATCGTAGAAAGTGAAACAACAACAACAACAACAAAGCCTTAATCCCACTACGTGGGGTCGGCTACATGAATCCTTTTTCTCCATTGCGTCCTATTTAGTATCATATTTTCATTTAGTTCTAGTAAATTAAGATCATTTTTAATACAATAA